TAAGTTTGAAATCGAAAACCCGCATTGAGCAAGCGGGGTGATTAAACCTCAAATATTCTCCGTGTGAAAAGAGGCTTTGCTCAGCAGTAGCCACTTATAGAATGTTGATAATGATGTAAAATGAATCTTAAACTGTCAAACACCAAGCGGTCACCGGTGACCGCAACCTATTGTTCTATAATTGTGTCTACAAAACCGGTACTCGACGAGTTAAATCGCACTCAAACGTTCTATAAATAGCCTTTTCAATAAAGTATGTTAATAAACATAACATCACTTAACATGACTTCACGCCTTTTATCCCTGAAGGGATGGGCAGAGGTGTACATTACCACACCCGCTTTTACTATTTTGTGTTATGACTTATGAGTCCCATGTAATAGGGGGTGAGCCTATTGCCATATACCTACTGGGCACATTTTCAGAATCCGTGCTACTTCTGAGATTAAAAAAAAACTAGTAATTCTTTGCCCGACCAGGGAATCGAACCCTAGACCACACAATGAGGCAGCCATTATCATGTTAATAAAATCAATCTTAAATATTACCTTTATAAACAATTCAACTAAAAGCACTTACATAACTTTATTTCAGTATACAAAGTTCAAAGTTCCACCCCCTGTCTAATTAACCCCCCACGACCTACGTGAACACCCTGACCACTGTCTTAGCCGCTCAAAATAGCCCATGGCTATCGATCCTACGACAGTGCCATGAACTTCCTATAAATAACCCTGTACACTACATGTATTATTGTTTCTAAGTAATAATGTCCAATAGGCTCACCCCCTATTACGTGGGATTCATAACATAAATAGTGAAAAGTGGGTGTTACATTGTACAGTGGCATAATGTGCACTTCTGCCTACCCCTTCGGAGATCAAAGGCGTGACGTTATGTGTATGTTTTTATGTATTGTCTTTACATAAAAATCATAGTTGATATATGTACTTACAATGAACACCAGTGGTGGATTTAATTTTAATCGTTTTTTTAGGTTTCGCTATCACATTTTCTTTTTAAAATGATGACTACCTTTTTTGTCTAGTAATCGTGTGATCATGGTATGGTCATGGCCGAAAAAAAAACATTTATTATTGTTTATTTGTATATAGAGGTAGATTAACACGGTATACACTAATTACATTAATCAAATTAAATTACAAAAAGTAATATAAAAATAGAAAACTAAATTAAAGAAACAATAATAACTGGATACTGATTTATGGGATGATAAAGATCGAACTAAGTGCAAAATACATTTTTACATTAATGCAGAAATGCAGTCAAACAGAAAAAGATGCAATTCACAAACCATTTCATTGAAAGTTCAGCAGGGAAAGAAATCAATTTGAGTTATAATTTTCTTTTTATTATATATTTGTACTTAGATTGATGCTGAAGTTGGGAAAATCTAGACATTTTGTTCACTGCACACTTTATTCTTTGAATAAAAATATGGCTGTAAGCCAAAAAACTTGGAAAAGAAAATGCCGATTCTTATTTCTTCGCTGTTAGTAGAATATTCATTTTACTGAGCACGTTGTACGCAGCCGACTTAATCTCGGCTTATAGACTTTGCAGATTACTTCTTTAGATGGCTGTTGTTAAGAAAAGTAAATGGTTTTTAAAATAAATAAAAATTCTTGAGAAGTTTTGATCAATTTGAGTGAAATTAATGATGGTAGGAAAATCATCGTATGACTGCTCCCGCCTAGGTGAGGCGGGAGGGAGTGTCAGACTCTTACTGACTAAAAACCACCTCGTTCCTTCTCCTGCACGTCGAGCCGGAGCCCCGATAACCCGTTAGGTTCTCCGCGATAAACATCGGGTATAGGTTGAGGTTTTACACAGTTTCTGAGTGTTTGTCTTTTTTTAATCTTTAGTAACGTGGTATTTGATGTAAAATCAATTTTGTAACACGTCTGTGCATTCTTCGCATACTTCAAAACACCTGAAATAACTTGTAAAAGAAATAATTTGACAATCTTTTTGCACATGTGATTCTGTAAACAGTTTATGATAGTGGAGTCGAGGACTATAAAATTGTAACCTGTACGCATTTGATATACCATATTGATGGCTTTTAAACTTCTTCAAGGCACATTTACTTATAGCACGCATCTTGATACTAAACCTTTACGTACATACCTCTTTCAGTCCACTCAAACAATTCCCATACATCACTGACACAGAATTCGCACTACAGTTAAGAGACCATCTATAAAACGTTACCTCCATTTTATAGGCGACAATTTGAAAGCAACTTGATTCGTCACCTGTCTCTATAAAACCCTTACACTTGAATACACGCAGTAACGAGCGTGCTGACATCTAGGACATAACAGAGACCTAGGCTATTAACCCACAATAGCAACAAAAACTCTTCAGAATGACTTGCATCAATGGATATTCAACTTTGTCTCTTGAAGGCGAAAGTTGATAATGCAAAGTTGATGGGATAGAATTTATGCATCAAAGGAAATCGGTGTCACGGAAGCACCGTGTCCAGATGTGTCAGTGATTGTTAACAACTTATAGTGTTAGTGCAGAACTGTGTCAATAGTTGGAAAACAAATTCTCAGATACGATAGGAGCTATGGAAACTGTTTGGGATTAGCGTGATGATGATGCGTTAGAAACTGTTAGGTATCAAATGTTAGTCGCATTTTGATACAGATGGGAATTAATGTTTATTTATTTGAACTAAAACTAAAGGTTTATTTCTCTCTAAAGTTTCACATTTCTGAATACAAACAAAGCAACTGTTGTATAAAACCAAGGATACACAAGGGGGACAGATGTGTTGAGACACGTGTCGCCAGCGACGTTGAGTGAAGTAGCGAAGTTTGGTCGACAAGTCTACCAATTTCGGTCGCTGTGGACATAAGGCGTCGTGATAAGTTGTCGCTATATAATATGTCGGGCGAAATCGACAGGCTTCGGTTAACATGTCGCCGGTACATATCGTGGGACATTTTTCCTCAAGTGTATTCTTGGCTTAAAACTAACAGTTCTACAAAAAGTCACTACTCTGTAATTTTAATGGAAAGAAAGAAAACACATTTATTTCACTCGCTAATAACCGGTGACATGGACAGATTATAAACGTTTAGACCAGTTGGATATTATAAGTACCTACCTTCTTATGGGGACTTGTTCAATTAGTTCATTGTCCCAAGTTTGCAGCGAAATGGGACCAATTCATGTGCCAGATATTATGGCGTTGCGTTGATATTCTACTGGCCCCTTGAAGGATGTAGTCTAGTCTGAAATATAGTTTTCAAAAAACTCATTATTTTCGAAATACTAATACATGAGATTAATCTTCAAGCCTAATCTTTCTTACATAATGACGCAGCACAACAAAAACCTGATAGAATCTAGAAAATTCTATTACATTCGATCAAGGATAGTAAAAGACAATTTAGGTCAAATAGAGTGATGTAACTAGGACTTATCGCTGGCTAGACTGAAGCCGTTCAAGTCTAGAACAGGTGACCTGACATGGCTACGTGTGTGAATGACATCGTATATTTAATTTTAACAGAATACTTTATGTGGCAGTCTGGGTAAAGTCTCGTCTATGTTGGACTAAAAATGTCCGAAGCTAATTAGGTTTGGTGGTTTTTAAGTTAGTAATTAGTTCGAAAATTACAGTACACAATGTTTGTAATGGGTATATGATGTAATTGACATAATTTAATCATAGGTATCGCTTTAACTATAGGATCTTTTCGACTTTTTCATATTTTTTTTATTTTACGACAGCTTTGAATATTTTCAATAGGCCAGAAATTAATAAGCGCTACGTATGATGCCTTTATACATTCATCTAATGTCTTATATCGTTACGTAAAATTCTAACAAAACCCCTCTGGTCTCGTCCTTCCAGGACAAAACCACCTGTCAGATTTTTAATGACACAAAGCCACCGCGGTGACGCATCTCTCTCGCGAATACGGGTATGCAACAAATTTGTTCTCCCATCGCCTCTGAATAACTTTAAAAAGTTAAGATGTTGATCCAATATGTAGATCGTCATAGTCTACTAGAAATAAAAGTGTTGATACTTAAACTTCATCTACTAGTTAGCACTCTCTACGGGCCCAAGCGTACGGTTCGTCGCGTTCCGCGCGCGCCTCAAAGAGCCATCAGACCACCACAGATGGGGCCCAATACGGCCGATGCCGATTCGGAGTCGCGGAGAACCTAACGGGTAACCGGGGCTCCGACTCGACGTGCAGGAGAAGGAACGGGGTGGTTTTTAGTCAGCAAGAGTCTGACACTCCCTCCCGCCTCACCCAGGCGGGAGCAGTCATTCGATGATTTTCCCCCCTTAAAAAAAAAAAATATAAATTATTGTCATATTAATTAATGAAAACTACACCAGACGAATTTTGCCCACCTTATCCATGTTCGTATTTTATGTCCAATGTTACCATGACCTGCAAATTAAGCAAAAATCAATAGTTTTGCCCGCTGAATTTCATGCGAAGGTCGTACGAACTGATTTAGGGAAGTGGGGTGAAACGTTCGTAGTCTAACCGTCTGCTTTGTTTGACTCATTCGATGTTACATAACAACATTTAGGCGTGGGTGTTTACTATTCTGTTTATGTATGTTTTTACTTTAGTAGAAGGAAATTGATTTTCCGTTAAGCTTTTTTTTTTTATTTACCACTCTTAACTGTATTAATAATAAAATTACAAGCAATAAAAAGGATTACGTTTTTTTCAAATGCGTCTAAATAAAGTACCATCAAAATAAAAAAAAGTATAAACACCAAAAAGGTTACAAACACAATATAAACTTTTTGTTTAAATGTAAATGCTTACTTTTATTTTTCTATTAAAAGTTTCTTTTTCATTTGACAACTTCATACTGGCACAAAACAAAAGAGTGAAAAATATAATTATAGAAAATAAAAAAAATGCACGTCGCAAGAGAATATTTTCCAGGGATTTTCATTTTAATTGGTTTGTATTATTTTATTACAGAATACGCCGCCAAAATGAGTTATTTAGAGAAAGTCGACCGATATTTGGACTCCCTGAAAGTGGGAAAGAGTAAGTTATATCTATTTTGTTAATTTCTTTTACATTGAATTCATCTAAATCGTGACATTTCACATTTTTATTTTCGATTAGAGGAACGTTGTTCTCAAATCATTAGTGTAGATTTCATAATTTATTGTAAAAATTATGAAATCATCGCATCCTTTTTCTTATTCTTATCATCTTAGTCTATCTATATGATACACGTACTTATTAGAATTATCAACACATCCTTATTAAGCCTTGACAGAAAATGCCCGTAGCATCGAGTTCACTTTATGCACATTTTTAATGAAATAAGTTCCATGTAAATTTGCTGACGGTTCACTTGATGGTCAGCAACTCTCATTACATCTATAGAACCAGATCTACTACACAAGTTAGCTAATGGCTAGGGCAGGGTGGAAAGGAAAATGAGGTTTCAGAAAAAAATTTAGCTCTCGCACGTTATAGACCTTTGTGCCCGGTCTAAATAAAATTACCTTATCATTTCCAGGTGCCTTGGTAGATTCCTGGTTCATGATGTCGAGCCCCATGCCGTTGTTCTCAGTGGTGGTGGCCTACTTGATACTCATACGTATTGGCCCCAGAATTATGAAGAACAGGCAACCTCTTCAGATGAACAGGCTGATTGCCTACTACAACGCTTCCCAAGTGCTTCTAGCCTTTGTGATTTGTTTTAAGGTAAGATAATCATATTCTTGAATTGACATAATATCATAGCATCACGCTTTTTTATCCCCGAAGGGGTAGGCAGAAGTGCACATTACGGCACTTAATGCTACTGTACAATGTAACACTTACTTTTCACTATTTATTTAACGAGTCCCATGTAATACGGGTGAGCCTATTGCCATATACGGGGCATAGTTTCAGACTCCGTGCTATCACTAAGATTCTTTTTAAAAACCCACTAATACTTTGCCCTACCCGGGAATCGAACCCGAAACTTCTTGCCCGGCAGTCGCACCTGCGATCACTCGGCCAACGAGGCAGTCAAGGAATTTTCGGATTCATATCCGCCATTTTGGCTTATCTCGTAACTTATTGTCATCATCTTCAAACAACGACCTATAATTGTTCACTGTTGTACTATAAGCCTCTTTTACATAATATGTTTATCTAAATATCCAGCCTGGGTGAGTCGGGAGGGAGTGTCTGACTCTTGCTGACTAAAAACCACCCCGTTCTTAATCCTGCACTTCGAGCCGGAGCCCCGGTAACGCGTTAGGCTCTCCGCGACTCCGTATCGGCATTAGCCTTTTTGGGCCCCATCCGTGGTAGTCTGATGGCTCTTTGAGGCGCGCGCGGAACGCGACGCGACGTATGTACACTCTGGTCTGGTTCTGGTCAGGTGGTGAGCCACCCATGCTCGCCATCAGCAGGCCCGCGCTTACGGTGGCCGGAGTTTGTCCCGCGATCCACGACGCCCGGAGTGTCATTCGCGACGGCTGGGTTGTGAGGAGGCAGCGCTTCGCTGCCTCATGAGCCCCGCCTCCTCCTTAGCTAGCATGACCGCTTCGCAAAATGAGGAAACGGCATCCCGGTCCGGGTCGCTCCATAGCCGCAGTGCAGCTACCCGCATAGTGCGTATGAACCGTAACAGTAATGGTTACAATGGCCTATAGAGACTTGCAACACATGAAACGTCGCATGCGCCTTGCCCACCCTTTATAAACATATTACACCTTTCTTAAAGAACCCTATATATACCCATCGGGAAAACCTTGGCAGGGAGTTTATTCCACAATCGGAGGGTCCGTGGGAGAAAATTCCTCTGTAACCGAACTGTACGGGACCATTTGGGCTCCAATGTGTGAGCGTGAACTTCCTATGGAAGGCAAACAGTGCGATGATAGAAAGTGACCGTGGGCATCACATCGAACTACTCCGTGGAACACAACCCATTATACAAGCGGTCAGCGGGATTCCATTGAGGGAAAGAAACAGAGCTATACAAGTCGTCTAGCGAGATCTCGTTTCCTCAGCGGAACCACTCTGGCTTTAAGACGTCATAATACGCCACCAGCTCTCTGTTAAGTGTGTAGTACCTTCGGGAAAAGTAGAGATAGTGGCACATGTATACTATGTCCTATTATTTATAAAACTAAAGCAAAAACGGTTGCTATAGTTGACATTTCCATAGACTACCTTGCACTGTAACTAGAATAAATTAAACAAGTATGACGCAGGTAGTGTTCAGGAATGCAATTTTATTATAACAATTATACACATTACGTTCAGTTGGAAAATTTAATTAATATAATAGATGGGATCATAATACGTAACAATGTTATCGTTGGTCGTTAATCAAGTGGAAAAGTGGAGTTGCTTTTTTATTTGTTTGTGTTTTACTGGGGTATAGTAAGTTCATGGTAATGGATTACTGTGATAGGTTCACCGTACGTAATTGTAACATAGGTGCATAAAGTTTATATTGAAACAGTAAAGGTTTTATTGAATGCTTTGTTGTTTGGGTACCTAATTAAATGTACAATCTTAATTATTTGAAATTACTTGGGATGAATAAAAAAAAATACACATGCTTGTTTACGATATTTGAATTCTGGTCCTGCAGAAAATATAATATTTGTTGAGCTGGCAGCAATAGTTTATGATCCTATTTAATGAGAAATGCTCTGAAAAAATGTCGAAGAATACAGTTTAATTAATAGTTTTGCCTTCGGGAAAAAATGGGCAATGTATCTTTATGGGTATTGAATATAAATGTAGAAAAAGTTATTTCATAGCTCTATCTACACGATCATGTACTCTGAACTGCTCGGTACGCTAAACTTGCAGAAGTCTGACATCTGGTGACTTTGATACATCGGTCCAAGTTGTAGCATAAATATAGCTGATAGTTACGTAAAGTTATAAGCTCGACAGTAACGCTGACCCAGAATGAGTTTCATTTCATAGTTTTGAAGTGGCTGAAATTATAGATCGTTTCTTTGGTCGATTTCTGTTAAGATGTTACGAATAATTTATACATGATCTTCATAGACAAGAGGCTTGACACTTTTTAAATTGTTTTATCTTCCTTATTTCAGGTTTTCAAACTAAATCTCTTCAGGGATGGCATTATTTATGCGGGTTGCCGCTATCCTTCCAATACACAAAATGTTATGGTAAGTAAAAAACTATATTTAACATCACGCCTTTTATCCTCTAAGAGGTAGGCAGAGGATATAGTGCACCTTATACCACTGTACAATGTAACACCCACTTTTCACTATTTATGTTATGAGTTCCATGTAATAGGGGGTAAGTATATTACCATATACCGGGCACAGTTCCAGACTCCGTGCTTCTACTGAGATTTTTTTTAAAACCGAGTAATACTATGCTCAACCCGGGAATCGAACCTTGCCCGGCAGTCGCACTTGCGACCACTCGGCCAACGAGGCAACTATAAAATAAAGCTCCCTTTTCAATATAGGTACATATTCAATTATAAGTTCTTATTTTATTTTCTATTTTTCAGCTACTAGATTTGGGTTGGTGGTATTTCTTTGCCAAGTTTACTGAGCTGCTCGATACAGTGTTCTTTGTTCTACGGAAGAAAGACAGTCAGGTGAGTAGTAGCTGATACAATAATTATTATTTAATAATACTAGTCTAATAATAACATTATGCCTTTAATCCACTTGCAAACATAACACTACTCTTGACTCTCGAACACTTACAATAATATTACGCCTAATATAGTACTATGCCTAACATAATTTTAGATACAATGTTGTATTGTAATTGTGACGAACATCGAACGTGTTTTGGACGTCAGAAACCTACTATATAAAAATATGTCGGGTTTTCCTTCCTGACGCTATAATTCCAGAACACACAAACTGATTTCCACGGTTTTCCATTCGTTGGAAACGTCTCGGGCTCCGTGAGGTTTATAGCAAAGAAAATTCAAGAAAAAAATTTCTTCATCTTTTAATCATCAAACGAAATGTAACTTAAAATGATGCCATCTGGTGGCGAAACGGCGTTCGCCGGGTTTTCTAGTTGTGATATAAAATTATTGTTAGGAATAAAGAAAATAAAATTAAAATTATGACTTAAGGTACTGTTACACAATGCTCTAGATAGCATACTAAAAGGCGTTGGTATTGACCATGCCTAAAAACGTTCAAAAATCGAACGCTTATCTATTCGCAAACATGCCTGAAATGAGTATGCGTACTTTGAGCTATATTCCAATACGCCTACTGGTGACAAGTGCTTAATTGACACATCCCTTCGTGCTTGCTATTAGCATGTGCTACAGTATCTCACTGTCACCTTTTTACTGAAAGAACAATTTTTGTTCCAGGTGACCTTCCTCCACGTTTACCATCACGTGATCATGGCTCTCTACTCCTGGAGCTATCTGAAGTTTGCAGCTGGTGGTGAGGGTGCAGTCCTAGCCCTACTCAACTCCATCGTACACGTCGTGATGTATTCTTACTATCTTCTGTCTGGATTGGGACCTCGGTTCCAGAAGTATCTGTGGTGGAAGAAATATGTTACTAAGCTACAATTGGTATGTTTGACTTAGTATTTTACTCTTGAATATAATAAAAAGGTGCATTGTGAGAAGAAAGTTTTTATAGAGGTATACAGCATACAGTTTATGAATATCTCGAAACACCATGAACAAATGGTGCATAAACATTTTTCAAATAATCTATGATACATTGAAATTAAATAACATAACATCACGCCTTTTGTCCCCAAGGGGGGGGGGGCAGAGGTACACATTACAGCACTTAATGCCGCTGTACAATGTAACACTCACTTTTCACTAATTATGTTGAGTCCCATGTAATAAGGGGTGAACCTATTGCCATATACCGGGCATAATTCCGGATTCTGTGCTATGAAAGCACTCCAAAACGCCTTGCCGAGTCGTACTTGTTACCACTTAGCCAATGAGGCAGTATCAATTAAATATTTGTAACATAAATGCGAACTAAAGACTACAATTAATGAAGCTTAAACGACTTTTAAAAAGAAATAAGTATCGAACACAAACATTCTTTCCCTGGGTCTCAGGCTATGACTATTTTTTGCAGATCCAGTTCATCTTGATGCTGACGTACTGCGCCTGGACGCATTTCTCTCCGCGCTGTCAGTACGCATCCGGCTTCACGTACTTCATCTGCACCAACATAACCATCTTCCTCTTTCTATTCCTCAATTTCTACAGCAAGAGCTACAAAAAGAGAAACCTTGACAAGAAAAACGTTGAGAAGGAACTCAAGGAAGAATACAACAAAACTCATAGTAATACCACGACGAATGGAGTTTGCAAAAATGGAGTCAATAACAAAAAAGAGAACGGAGTACATGGGAACGATTGCAAGAGTGTTCCCAATATAGATGAAATCCCTTGCGAAGTGAACAAGGCTTGTGGTGATTACGTTAAAGATGGCAAATTCTTCCTCTCAAGGCGGACGGCAAAAGCAGCGTATGGCGCCGAATACGACTTCGATAGTATAATAAAGAAATGATTCGACAAGGTCAAAGACTACAGCTAGCGGTTCTATTGAGACTGATGTATGTGATGACATTGGTATTGTTAAAGCCTAAGATTTATGTGGAGTTTGGAAGTTAGATAAGTACGCTTAAGTATTCGCTTCACTAGGACTCTCTCAAATTGAAGAAAGGACCAGGTTTGGTGCTATCATTTGTTAGAGCCGTTAATTTTCAAGTGAGGTCTAAAATTACAGCATATCGTAGTTCGTATTGCAAAATTAATGAATTTAAAAAATTGTCGTACCAGTGAGAAGACGCTTTAAATTTACAATAAATTGCCAACCGCACAATTGTTAATGTAGATTTTAAGGTAAGCATTTGCTGTAAATATAATACGTGAAGTATAATCGTGCACTTATTCGATGCAGCCAGGTTTTGGTTTGGGATTGAGACCTTTCATACATGGAGTTGGTGCGAAGAGACAAATAATAACTTTGTATATGTACCTACTTCTCAAGGACTGCACAGCTCTGAGCAATGCATGTTATTGTGTGCACAGTACTTCAAAATCAAGAATTTCTTGCCAATCACTTTCTACTGATATTATTAAGTGTATTACACTTTCTCAGTTTGCAATACGCAGCCGTCCACTTGGATCATAAGATGACTATTAAAATTGAATTGTTCTTTACTTTTCAAATCCTTATTTTGAAACATAGTTGTCTTAACTACGCTCGTTGGCTTCAGTTTTGTTATTTGCATTTTAAGTCGCAATAGGATCCTGATCTTAAAATACAAACATGTTTTGCTATACGGCTAACCAAGAAAATAGTTCAGTGTAGATAATTTGGATAGAAAAAACTTTTTGTATTAAGTAGTCGAATTCGTTCACCATATGCATTTCAATTTACTCCTATAGTCCTTGAATATTAGATTACATTTTTCTTAAATTACTAAAAGTTTGCCTGCATTTTCGCAGCCCTATGATTACCTCTCCGATCAAAAGTAAGCAAGCAAAATTTAGCTTCTAGTAGCGCGGGACCACTCAACCTTATTTACTAAAGGATAGAATTGAAAGTAGCGTAATGTATGAAAAGCCTCAGAAATTATCAATTTAAGTAAAAAATAAGTTTTAATAGGTGTACCAGGATACCATTCGTATCCACGGTCATGTAATTTTGTTATCTAAGTAACGTACTATTAGTTAATTTAATGATTTAGTCGTAGTTAACGAAAATGGATTCGATACACAGTCAATTTTGGGATGTACAGTTAAAATTAATTCAGCGTTTGTTTTTTTTTTAAACTCATTATATACCTACACAAAGGTGTTTAATTAGAGTTGTTATTTTCACAGCTTATGTTTATTGATGTATGTTTTATTAGAATACATTTTGTTTTGCTTGAATATTGTCTAGTAATGTAATGATGTATATTTTTGTGTAAAAAGGTTTTTGTATGATCTGTCTATAATAAAGCCTGGAAGAGCTGCATGTCGCCAACGGCAGAGGCAACTGCTGCAGTTGACACGTATCGGCGGCAACCGCTGACGCGTCAACGGCTGCAGTCGGCCTGGTAAAACGGGGTGAATTGAATTTGAGGGTCATCCCTCGTACAGTAGATATCATAGATACAGAAGAGGGGTGAATAAATGTTGGGAAAATATTCTAACACTTATCCACCCCATTCCTGTATCTACCCCATCACCCCTCGAATTCTATTCACCCCGTTTTACGGTAGCAATATTTGCAGTTGTAGCGTTCTTCGAAGTTAAAATGTCGATGGCTGTAGTTACCTCTACCGTTGGCAACAAGCCGCTTGTGAGCTCTAAAATACAATCGATTTAGACCATATCAACTTAATATTGAAACCTAAAGCTGTTAGAAACTCATTATTCACTATTACTTAACTTTGAATACCTGACGGCTATCCAGAATATTTTATTTGTTTGCTTTAATATGTATTGGTATCTGCTGATTGATGAATTAATAGAATTTCTTGATTGTTGTGGATTGGATCCTCTTCCGTTACCTATGTCTAATTAATTTTTCAATTAGTATAGTTTTGATTTTGTACTTTTAATGCAATTAACAATAGTACAAAATAATGTTAATTTTAAGAAACTAATAAAGTTTAAATAATATTTTTGCATTTTTATTTATTTACTAACAATTTTTGATAGTTATTTTAAATGCTACGATATGACTACAATATACAGGATATTAAGTACCTACCTACAAGGTTCATAGTACACGGCGTATTTTATACGCGCAGGCGACGCAAAGATGACGCGCGTATACGCTCTTCATACGCTATTAGAACGCAATCTTGTAACCACGAAGCGATTGCAAAATGGCGCCTCTACAGCGCGTATTGGCACTGATAAGATTTACATAATTGTATTCAATGAAATTCATGGACACGTACTTAACCTTTTGACCGCCACGGACGGCTATAGCCGAAAAACGAAAACGTGCCAAATACGCCACGGGCGTAAGAAAAGCCGTCCAGAAAACGACATTTTTAGTGCGGTAAAACGGGGTGAATAGAATTCGAGTGGTGAATAAATGTTGGGAAAATATTCTAACATTTATTCACCCCATTCCTGTATCTATTCACCAAAATGAATATAAACAAAATAAATACATTAAATTAAATTTTGTATGTTACTTTTTCCTATTATTTAAAACAACATTAATGAAGTATTGTAAAATGGCACAAATATATATTTATAGTTTACATTTCATTAGAAAAAATAGTCATCAAGAATTGCTAATCGATATCCGTAAAGTGTTCTTCCTCAAGCCACGGACGTCAAGACACGATAGCTAATGATGGGCAAGTAAGGAAGGGTAACTTTATTAGTAAGGTAACTTTATATTTGAAATTTATGAAATATTTTAGGTAACTTTTTATTACTTTGAAAATTATTTTTAATGACAATTATTTATAAGTTTCTGAATATTTCTAATGCATAATATTTATAAAATTGTGGAAAACATCATAATTGGTATTATATATCAACGGTAAGGTACAAAATACAGTGTAGTTATTCCAAGGTATTTTTGTATAAAATAAAATACCGATTTCTTTCACCATTAGCTATCACTGGCAGAGTAGATTGATATTATTAATACGTTGTTCGCCTAATAAACACTACCTAATTCGTATTGATTTCAAAATTTTGTAACAAATATTACAATAAATTAATATGAAACATACATACCTAATTAACTAAAAATCGCGGGTTACTCACGTGAATATACTGAGAAAAGCTCTACTAGTTTCGAACCACAGAGGGGTTCTTACCAGCGTGCGCGGTCGCGGCGATGTCGCGCAGCCTATTGGCTAGTGTTGGCGCTCGCCTCGGTATTGCTACTTACCCATCTAGCCCAACGCGACCTCTTCCAGACACCACGAGCGTTTGCTTCCAACTCTGGGCGCGGCGCGTCGGATGATGCTGCTGATTAATGATAGTATAATTCGAAATAGATAAAAGAATCATGTTATGAATAATATTTTATTTAAAATAATGGGCCTTAAAGTAATAATTAATTGGTTATCGATAAGACGTTGAATCCCTATTTTTTGTTATTTGTGCTGAATTTGTGGCTAGGCGTAATAAGACCGGCGATGCGTTTACGCTCTGGCGGTCAAAAGGTTAAGGTGAACACTATGAAACTGAAATCATCGGGGTAAGGTTAAATAGGTAATACTTTTAAAAAAATAAGTAACGCTCGAATACTGAAAGGCTACTCAATTTTAAGTAGTACTTAAATATCTTGCCAAGGAGGAGGCGGGGCGCGTGAGGGAACGAACCTCCTCACGCCTCGGCCATCGCGAGAGATGATACTCCGGGCGTCGGGGATCGTTAGACGATCTCCGGCCACCGTAAGCACGGGCCTGCGGACGGCGAGCACACGTGACTCACCGCCCGATCAGACCCAGGCCCGAGCGTACGGTGCGTCGCAATCCGCGCGCGCCTCAAAGAGCCATCAGACCACAGATGGGGCCCAACAAGGCTGATGCCGAATCGAAGCCGCGGAAGACTTAACGGGTGGCCAGGGCTCCGGCTCAAACAGTAGGAACGGGGTGGTTTTTAGTCAGAAAGAGTGACACTCCCTCTCGCCCTGACCCGGGCGGGAAAAATCATTGGATGATATTCAACCCTCAAAAAAAATATCTCTGTCATTTTACAGAGACTTAAAATTGATTAGCGTTTGAGTGTTCGCGTGTAAGTGTTTTAATAACAGTGCTTGTACAAAGTACTTGTGTGAATTACTAATACCTGTAAGCTGTTTAAGCACAGTAGAAACATATTTTGCATGAATAAATACCATTCTACATAAAAACAACTATAAAGTATTATACTATGTAAAATAATCATTTCCATATAAGTCGTCATTGCAATCGGACATAGGTATAAAATATTTATTATACCTCTAAGCTTTTATTATTTTAAATAATGTCTTTCCATATGCATCGATTGCAAAATGAAACGTTTTGGGACTTCAAAGGAAAAGGTGAGTAATTTTTATTTATACATATTTGTTTTACTATAATATTGTTTCAAGTATGCATGTATTATTTATATTTGTATG